CCAGTATGAGAAACATATTTACATAATGGCATCTCCCATCAAGGACCTATAGAAGCATAAAACAAAGTGTTATGGATATGTCATAGGTGCTTCCATCCCACTGTGCTGTAGGACCCTAGATATTAGCTCTTATCTAATTGTATTTAGGGACATACCATTCAACTCTCTTCCATATGCTTTATTCTTTCTAGCCTCTAATAATCAATTTTTATTTTACTATATCAATTCTTTACTTCTACACCAATGAGAACATGCTTCATGACTTTCTGTGTTAGGTTTCCATCCTTTATAAAAAACTTCCACTTCTATCAACATCTCAAAGAACAATCCCACGTCATAATATTCAGTTTTTTTCTAGTTCTAATTCATACTTTGTGTTTATTTATTGCTTTAAATGAGGCAAAGTAATCTGTCTCACATGCTAAGAAGAAGACATGAAATATATGTTCCCTGTTTTACAAATGAGGGCATATTTTATTTTGATCTTTAGTTTGTTTTGTTTTGAGATAAGTTCTCTTGTAGTCCAGGCCAGCATTCAACTCTCATTGTAGCTGAAATGACTTTGAAATTTTGGTTGTCCTTCTTCTACTGCTGAAGTGCTAGAATTGCAAGTCTCTGCCTCCATGTCTTGCTATGCATGTGTGTTTTAATTGTTGCCTCAGCCAATATACATGGTAACTTATACTTAACACTCAGTTATGTTAAGTGGGCTTTATCTGTTTACATTTGTTGGATTCTCACATAAACACAGGAGAGAGCACTCATGATGCATGACCTCAAGGTGGTAGAGCAAGTACAGAATAGTACCAAAGGACAGCAGGTCTGCAAGACCTTTTAACAGTTCAATGAAAATGAGTATTAAAATAGTGTGAGTTTAATTCACATTGTTAAATGAGAGTAATATAAGTTCATGTTTCTCAAAGTGAATAACTTTAAGATGTTTTGTGTGCTGTTACAGGACCTTCAAAAACTCCAATCTTAAAATACCCCTGCCACATGTAATCGAAACAATGATAGTTTATAGACATTTTGTCTCCTTAGCACCCACACAATGCGTTAGACCGCAACTAAATCTACAATGTGGAATAGAATGAATGGCAAGAGAAAATTCTAATTAGTGAATATTTTGTATTATTATTAAAATAACAACTTTATACTTATACTACCCATCAAAAAAATAGTCGTGTCTTCTGCTTTAACAATGTTAAGAGGTACTCAAAAGTGAAAGAACTTGTCCAACTTCAGTCAGTTATCTGTGTAACTATCATGCCATACTCCAGAAAAGTCAATGGTAGGACTGAATTATGGTTGAAGTACTTCATTTGTAATTTGGGAAATATTATATAGCATATGGGGAGCTAAGAAGTTTTAATGAATGTGTCTTGTTGAGATGAGCACAGCCTTGTTAAGGAACCCTGTGTCAGACCCATTGGAATGGAAAATCCAGGTCTGGCTTAGAAAAATAGCAAAGCCTTTCCCAGATATAAGTATGGCTGTTGATTAAGAGCATTTGACCTTTATCTAAAATCACTGTATGCTGAAACTATCAATCATAACTTTCTGCTACTGAATGACGGCCTGGCCTTCCTCTTTTTGCATACTTTGTATAACGCACATATTTTGGGTTTCCTGGCTGCCACTGGTTCATCCTCATCGTAGAGCATACCTCATTCAGTCTAGCTCATTGCCCCAGTTAGATCAGCTCCTAAATCCTTGTAGATCTCAGCAACAAAAGGAACATGAAAGGATGAAGAAATAAAAAGCTAGAGTTAGAGGCATGGTTCAGCAAGGAAAAGCAATTGCCAGCAACCTGACTATCTGAGTTCAATACTCAGGTCCCAGGTAGTGAAAGAGGAGAATTCCCTCAAGTTGTCCTCTGGGCTTTTTGTTGGTGTCATTATCTGTGCACACATACATTGACCTACACACACACATACACACACACACATTAACATATGATTTTTGAAACTAAAGTCAGATCCAGTGATAATGCCTGTAATTCCAGACCTCAGGAGAGTAAGATCTGGAAGATGATGAGTTCAATGCCCATTTGACTGCACAATGATATAATTAATTCCTGGGTTAAATAGTATGATTCTATCTGACAGAAATATGAAAGACAGAACCTCATTCTGAATATTTGTATACAACCCCTATTAACAAATGAGCCAGTACATCTCAAAGTCTTTAAAAATTGACAGTAAAATATTTATTTTCCTATATTAAATGATTTTCTAAGTTATGGTCTCCCTCTCTTGAAGATTCCATGTTTGCTCTAAGAATCAAATGTAAATCTTAAAGAGGGCCTTGTAATTACAAAAAGATAGTTCACTCAATGTTATATGCTAATGAATACATGCTAAATGTTCCACCCTATAATTTTCTTGAGATTTATATAACAAATATATTTGCATATTATTAAGACTACAAAAATGTTAGCCCTCCTATAGACAAATATTTTATTTAATATATATTCAGTGTTTCTGTAGTGCTAATATACCTTAGTAAACTTGGACTTGGTTTCTTTTACTTTAAATTATATGTGATATAAAACATATTCAACATTATTAATATGAAATAAAATGTTAAGATTTCTATAATTCTATTTTAACCAAAACATTATAGGTTTAGGCTATTTACCTCAATAAGTAGTATTCCTTTTGCCTCTTGATAATTATATATTAATAATTAAGTATAATACATATTTTAGATGTTTTAATTAGTGATAGCTTCCATTCATTAGTTTAATATTTAATAATTCTTTGATACATTTTGTTTTCTCCCCAATGTGGTGACTTTTTCATATCACCTTTACTTTGTGTATTTCCCAACATCTTTTTAATAATAAATCTTTATACTGTAATGTCAGCACATCAGAGGGCCTGATGTTGTGACATTTTGAAAATTCCCATGATATTTTAATGGTGTTAGAAGAACCAGGAGGCAACAACGATGTTGAAAATGCCATAGAGACTCCCTGTCTCTCTCATGAATCCTTAGCATGGAGTTATTGCTCTATTTTCCCCCTTGCTTTCTTTTTTAAGGCAAGATGAATTTTATTAAAACAACAAACCATATGAGTTTTAATTCTAAACTACTGAGCTTAATAATTTTTAAGTTAATGCAATAACTTTGAACAATATAAATATATATATAGAGATAGATAGATAGATTTGTCATAACTTATTCCTGAACATATGAACTTAAACGTCAGTAAAATACCTGTTTCCTACTTCTGTTTGTGAAAGTGTTGTATGTGTTACACTGTGCTATAATTAGGATATGTCCTGTATGAATGTAATGTTTCATGTTCTCTATTTAGCTTCTATCTTGAGTATTTGGTATAAAGAAGATTGTCTTTAATTGAATGAATGTTCATCTTTCTATTATTTGGCTTGAGGATTTCTTTATTATTATTATTATTATTATTATTATTATTATTATTATTATTATTTCTTATTTTACAAATCGATCCCAGTTCCCTCCCTCTCCCTCCCTCCCATGCCCCTCCTCACTCCACAGGGATAGTGGTGCCTTACAGGAGGCGTCAACAAAATCTAAAAGTCATTTGGAATAGGTAGTAGGCCCTCCCTCCTGCCTCTAGGTTAAGGGAGTGCTCCCAAAGTCCTTGTATGCACCAGGGATACATGCTGGTTCCACTGTCAAAGGTCCCTTAATTTAGACTGCCCAGGCCTTCTAACTGAGACCCATGTTCAGGGGGTCTGAGTCAGTCCAATGCTGGATTCCCAGCTGTCAGTTTGGGGGCCCATTAGTTCCTCCTTGTTCAGGTCAGCTGTCTCTGTGGGTTTCTGTAGCCTTGTCTTATCCTCCATCTGTGCATCTGGGGATTTCAAAAAACTTATGTTTCACTGTGGGAATTTTGCAAATTAAACCATAAAAGAACTGGTAGTTTCAGTATTTCTGTTGGGGCATTTGCGATTAATTGTTTCTGAATTCCAAAGCTGTGTTTGTGAGAACTCACAACCTCAACCTTCCTGACAAAGGGGACCTCCTTAGTCACACACTTTGAGACCAAATGACACAGGCTATGAATCTACACCTGGAGAATAGCTGTTAGGGCTTGCTGTGTAATAGGGCTTGTGTGTTAGGGCTTGTCTGTGATGAATTCTGATCTCTATTATTTGGTTAAATTCAGTTTGAAAACCAATTATTTCATTCTTTATTGATACAAAAGTGAAAGAATTGACAATCCACATGATGAAAACACAAGGACTAAACAAGTACACATGAAAAAGAGAAAAAGTAGCATATTACTAAGGAGACATGGCTGCTGTGTTTGACTATTTTAATCATTTTTGTTATTCTAGGATCAGAACAACAATTCAGGGAAATGAATAGTTGCATTTTTGTGGGACTTTTCTAGGGTGCCATAAGCAAATGGCTAGTCATCACAGTTAGAGCACTGACAAAAGTCTGTAGAAATTATCCAAGTCTAGCTAAGAAGCCATGCAATTTCTGAGGTAACTTACAGAGGTACAGATGATGTGCAAACAGTTGCATGACTGAGAGCCAGACCTGGTTTGGGTGAGAACTGGTGAAAGCTGAATTGATAGAGCTTTCTGCACAAATTCTAGGCAGGAAAAATGAAGAGTCTCCTCTCCTCCCAGAGATTGGGAAGGGATTGTATGTAACTTCCAGAGATACTTCAAGATTCTTGTGAGTTTCACCAGTTTTCTGAACCAGATGGGTTAGGTTTATTTTCTACATCTGGAGATATTTCCATGAGTGAAGTTTCATTTCTGAGGGAACAGTCTCAAAATACCACATCAAGTGTGAAACATTTAACAATGATGCATACATTTATACGGTTTAAGTGAAATATGGAAGTATTACACCTGGCTAAAGTTCGAGTAGTACACTCTGCTCTTAATAAAAAGAATAATAATTGTAATTGTTTAATGATTGAGTTTAGATGCTACTGTTGATTCCAAGATGCAGCATATCTAACTGAATGTATGTCTTCTGTTTGTGTCTTTTAGCTTCCCCATCAATTAAGCTTTTGGTGGATGATCCTATAGTTGTGAATCCTGGAGAGGCCATAACTTTAGTGTGTGTGACAACAGGAGGAGAGCCTACACCCTCTCTCACCTGGGTCAGATCCTTTGGGGCTCTGCCTGAAAAGATTGTTTTGAATGGAGGGACATTGACCATACCTGCTATCACCTCAGATGATGCTGGTACTTACAGCTGCATTGCCAATAATAATGTGGGGAACCCTGCAAAAAAGTCCACCAACATCATTGTGAGAGGTAAGTTCATCTGCAGAGGAAGCAAATACTGGCACATTTAATTAAAAAATATTTTCTCAAATACTGACTTTATTTCCCAAATAGTGTGACAATGTTTATAAAAATAAGATCTGTAATCAGAACTAGAATCTGAGTTTCTTAAGTCCTAATGATATTTTATTTGCATGAAAAAATTCACCACATACTTAAAATAATGCATTGACTTGAACTTATGTTATCAGTAAAATGTAATTGATAAAATGTTATATAAAACATAAAATATATACAGAGCATATGTCAGTTTAGAAATTTAATAAATTTTTCAAGTTTATGATTTGTCAATATTTATAGGATCTCATTTATAAGAAGGCTTTCTATTTTGATCTCATTTATAAGAAGGCTTTCTATTTTGATCTCATTTATAAGAAGGCTTTCTATTTTGATCTCATTTATAAGAAGGCTTTCTATTTTGATGTATAGAGAGATAGGTTCTCATACTTAAGAGATTCTATTAGCATATGCTGAATATAAAATATACTGATAATTAGATAATGTGTTTTGAAAAATATAGAAGATAGATATAAAAGTGTAAATACTATTCTCAAGTTCTTTCTCACTGAGGTTATTAGGAAATATTATAGACATGCATACTTGGTTGAGTAAGGTTTCTAGAAACTTCAATGAAACAAAGACTTTGAAAAGTCATCAAAAAAGAAAAACAAAACTTATTTGAGGGACTAGAACAAAATATGAGCTCCTAAAATGGCAGCAACAGTAATACTCGTGGGATAGCTCCCAACTAATATATTGACAATGTATGTACCTCACTATTGATGGAGGAAACAGAGTTAAAGATGACCTCAAAGAGAACGTAAGTTCTTTGTGTCATACTAGTAGGCAGGGGTAGAGATAGACAATGATGCTTTTCAGGTTAATAGACACATTTACAGGACCAAGAAGACCCACTGTACATGGCAGATAATGATGTGAGTGAAACACAATTGTGTCCATTGACATTAATGTGTGATGGTGCTGTGTATTGTTGTAGTTATTGTAGTGTTCCCAGCCCAGTACAAAACATTAGAAATAAACTTCTTGATACAATTCTACTTTGAAAAAAGGATGTAAATTATTATAGTGTAAACCAAAACAGTATGACTCATGTCCATGCCCTCTGCTACAGAATTGTTGGCCAAAGTACAGTCAGTAACTGTGAGATACATTAAAGATATCACTTTATGCATCTTGTTAAAATGAAGTAGAACCAAGAAAACTACCACAATGCTTCTTCATGGGATAAAAAATGCTGGACTCAGTGATCCTGAATGATTATTAGTATTGCCAAAATTAAATCCTCTTGGCGGCTTCTTATGTCGAGAAACCAGATTCTGCCATCCATCATACACCAACTGTTTAAAAGTGAAATAAACAAGGGTAAAAGTATACAGTGACAGTATTTGTTTATTGTTTATTTGTGTTTTTCATTTAAATTCTTTTTTATCAAAGAGGTGTGAAATAGTCTGTCAAGTCTTGTTGGACAATTGACATGAAAATGTTGCAACACTTAGCTTGAAGTGTCACAGATCCAAATGTGAATACCTTAGTATATTATTGTACCGAAGAAACAAGTTTACTTGAGAACTTACTTGATGAGTCCAATCTAGTTTGCAGACTAGAGTATTTGATAACCCTGAATCCAAGGGCAGCCAATACACCTTATCCCTCTCCTGCCTCTACTTTTCATCATTACAAAGAAAACTTCCGAACTCCTACACAAGTAATATGAATTAAGTAAAGCCTTAAAAATTATCTGGTGCACAATTTTATTTTTCTTCCTTTAATTTTCTGACCTGTATATTTTCATAATCATATTAACTTACCAGTGGGACTTCTCAGTTGTAACATTCAAATATTCAGCAAATTGTATTGTCTGTATTTTTTGTTTGCTTGTTTTTTAGCACAGGGTTTCTCTGTACGGCTTTGGAGGCTGTTCTGGAACTAGCTATGTAGACCAGGCTGGCCTCAAACTCACAGAGACCCACCTGCCTCTGCCTCCTGAGTGCTGGGATTAAAGGCATGTGACACTACCTCCAAGCAAGATTTTTTGTATTCTTACTGGATATAATAACATTCTAGTGGATACTAGGTTAATATTGGAAGAATACTACAATAATTTCAGATATCTGTCTTTTGTCCAAAGGCAAGAAAAGAAGTTTAAAGAAAAATATTTTATTTCTCTATTTCTTTTTAATCAGTTATTCTCTAGGCTTCTGAATGTGTAGAACTCTAGAGTGTCTCAGTTACCCTTTATCCCAGATGAGGTAAAATACAGAATTGTGGATGTAATTCATGTTATATTGTCTCTAACTAAATGGGATCCGAAGGAAGATAAAGGGTATATTGTTCTTAAATATCAGCATTTAAACCTGTGTCTACACACAGAAAGGAGTAGGGTTTAAAGAGGAATAATACTTTGGAAACATTTCTGAATTCTTTGATTGTTTTTTATGAAAATTTTTCTCATAGAGAATATTTTGACATATTTGTCCTCTTTCCCAACTTGTCCCAATTCCTCTCCAAATTCCTATTAACCCAACTTCATGCTCTGCATCATAAAAAAAGAAAGTAAGTAAGAAAAAGAAAAAAGATAAGAAAATCAAAACATCACAGGCCAACAAGACAAAATAAAAATGCCAATCAAACAAAAATTGAACAACTGCTTACAAAACCAAAACAAATAAACACATAAATAAATAAATGCAAAATTTGTTTTGTGTTGGGTAACTACTTCTGTGCGTGGACCAGCCATGGAATGTGGTTGAAATACCCAGTGACACTCTGTGGGTGAAATGGGTTTTCCTTTTGCTGACGGGTATCAATTGCATATATTTTCTTGGTTAAACATGGAACTCCATGTCCATGTGGTCCTCTCAGTACTGGTACCCATCTCTTTTAAACAAGTTCATATGTACATCAGCCCTACTGTATCTGGAAGATGCTGTTCTTAGGATCTTCTGCCTCCTTTTCCACATAGATTCCCTGAGCCTTGAGCTTAGGGGTTTGATGAAGTCATCCAATACAGAAATGAGTGTTTTCAACATTTTTCACTCTTTACATATTTTCCAGTTGTGGGTCTCTGCGTTAATTTCCACTTACTACAGGAATAAACTTCAATGATAAGCACTTGAACAAAGCACATACCAATAGGTGTAAAGATATGTCCTTAAGAGACATTTTATTCCTACACTCACTCCTTTAGTAGGATAATAGTATTAGATTTTCCCCTGTGCTCATGATCTATCTCCTATCAGGTTCTTGCCCCCTTTAGCAGTATCACTGTCTCATGAAGTAGACCTTAAACCAAGTAAATAAGTGAGTGGCTACTCCCATAACACTTGTGCCAAAATTGTTCTAGCATTTCAGCTAAAATCAGGAATGAGACTTTTTCTTAAAGTAAAACATATGTGACTAAGGCAGAAATGATTCTCATATGATCCTGAGAATTTTTACAGTGAATGGGGCACATTTCCCTAAGTCAAGCAAGAAGCAACTGCCTGATAAATAAGAAAAGAAAATTATCTTGATTCCTAATCTCATCCTGGGTGGCTGAGCTTAATGCAGTCTATACTCTGACTAGATAATGTGTTATTTCCATCTAAAGTTCTTTGTTGTGATTCCCCATGTTTAGAAATGTCCACACTTATTCTGTCATGATTAAGCCACCATTGAGCAAGTATGGATAATAAAATCACCAAGAAATTCTCAGCATATTTTAGTGTATTGTGAGATATTTAAATATGCTACACACAATGTATATGTGATCCAACTAGCATAAATCTCTAGATGTGTTTCCTTGGACCTAGCTCAGATACATTTGGGGTTGAAAATTTGAAGTGAGGGCAGAAGGTGAAATATGGTTAACTTTCATTATTTCCATTTGTTAATTCTCTAACCCCTCTTTGGGTTAGAGGGGTTAATTCTCTAACCCCTCTAACCCCATCCCTTTCCCATACCATCTTAATAGAAGTCATCTTTAGAAAGAGCTATTTTTGTTTTATACAGAATTAGTGGTCTCAATATATTTCTTGGATAATGTATAATCTGTGTGCACTGAGAACTGTTCAGTCTGTCAGGTATGTGGAAGGAGAAAACAGGAAGGATAAGAAGGGATATAAAAGGGTAAAAAAGAGTATAATAAGTATGTGCCATATGTAATCATTTGTACAATGAGTATATGCCAATAAAATTCAAAGAAAACTGTATCCTCTGATGAGAGTGTTTAAAGAAACTGTTAATGTGCAAAATTCTTAAACATCCCATTATTTCAGAGGATTCCTTTCTCCTAGCAGTATAATGTTAAAAACTTTATGATTTTGGCTTTTTCCCCCAAGGGTCCCAGCACACAGCTCCCAAAAAAATCAAACACAGAGAGACTTATTATTAGTTATGAATTCCTGGCTTTAGCTCAGCTTGTTGCAAGCCAGCTTTTTTTTTTTTTTATTTTGTATATTAACCCATCTACCTTTTGAGTTTGGGCTTTTATATTTATTAATTCTGTGTTTCTTTTTATTTTCCTTTTTACTCCATCAGTGGCTGGGATGCTAGGTGGCTAACCCATGACATCCTCCTCTCCCTCTCCTCTTCCTTCCCCTCCTCTTCCACCTTCTTTCTCCTTCTATTTAATCTGTCTGCCAGACCCACCTATTCTTACTCCTCCATTAGTATTGACCATTCAGTCCTTTATTAAACCATCAGGTGGTTTATACGGGCCAAGAGTCACTGCTTCACAGAGTTCAAAAAAAATGCAGTATAAACACAAATCACATACCTTAAAATAATATTCTACCACAAAGCTGCATCCCAATAAACATGGTGCAAGATGATCACATTTTATAGAACATTTAACTCTATCTAGAGGGAACATTTAATATTGATTGTGTAAGAGCGCATAAGTCTCATTGTGCAACCTCCATCCTTTGAGCATTATTATCATGAAAGTAAGATTACTTCTAAGGTTTGGT